ACATACGGATATACATACATACGTACATAATGACATACACACATGCCTACATATGTACATACATAAAGACATACATACATACGTACATAACTACATTCATACGCACAACACTGCTGTACGATATGTACATAATTACATACAGACATACATATATACATACATCTGTACATACATGCTTACATGCGTACACACGTACACATGTAAGTACATACATACGTATACCAAAAGCCTATAACAGTTGCAAGGATTCCAGGCCCAAAAACAGATGCCGCACTCGCTTCCACTCTACACCGTGGGAGGCAGGGCGGGGGCAGGAGGGGTGAGGCCGTATGTGAGAGGCAATCGCATGCTTTGCTGATGCCGAAAATTACAATGTCTTGCTGTCAAGCGGGACAAAAAAAGTTTCTTGAAAAAAAACCCTTGTGAAAACCGGCTGCACCCCTACCTATGCTTTGCGCTTTGAACCCGCGGCGGCTCATCTTGCTCAGTGCAGCACGCCAATTAGCCAGAGGACGCTGTATACACTGAAAGGCCAGAAGCTCTAAGAACTGAAGCAACGACACTCCTACCAATGAGATCCGAGAGCTCGCCCGTGCCAAGCAGAGTTTAAATTTTCAGGCTTAGCAGAGCAAGCCCGGCGATGCTGAGAGAGGCTGGTGCAGTACCCACAATCCGCACGCTTCCTGCGCAGCCTTACAGCATGCTAACGGAATGGACGAGGCCCGAAAGCAGCAACTTCTCTCTCAGCGAAGGTCTCAGCGAGCTCGGGATGTGTCACACCCCAGTCATTGCATTCAAAAGGACCCGAAAAGGTTCCCAAAACTTGGATCTAGCCATGGGCCGTGAGACTGTCTGTACACGGAGGGTGAAGAATTCCAGCATGCAATATACAAGTGATACAAGACCTTGAAAGTGCGAATCGGGGCCGAAGCCTACAGGACTCATGATGCTTACGCGAAGGTGGCCGGGACATTCTGAGAATGCGGCCAGCAAGGCCGCGACATGCAACAAGACATTCAAGCGCAATTGAAAGAGTTCTGCTGTAAAATCTCTGCACTTTCCTGTGGATGAATGCAGATGACCTAGGTTTCGGTCTCAAGTACTGTCCCAGCTGACCTGTTTGGAATGCTAGCTAGGTTTGGCATCGCACATGAGCTCTTCACCCAGTATCGGTTCCACTGGAGTCAATAAAGGCCGTACTGGAGTCAGACTCAAAAGGAGATAGATCTACACCCGGTGCAATGGAGTTGGCTTATGCCGGGGGGTACATGCGGGTATGGCGTCGCATGTCCAGTGGCCCGTTCGTTGACTCTGGCTCAACGTGGCTACAAACACATCTTGCAGGGCCAATCACCCACACTTCGCGCAAGGGGAACCCGGGCTGTTAGGCGCCAGACTTTCTGTGCTCCTGGCAGAGCGGTGCACTTTTTATGAGAGTAGCACAGCCTGTGGTCTGATGTCCGTATCTGTCCTGCCGGTGCTGCTTTCATGCCTTCGTGGGTGCGAACCCATACCTTGGCCAGTGCCCAGTGATTCGACCATCTAGTTAGGTGACTCTGTACAACTGCATGCCCGCAGCTGAGCCTCAAGCTTCTCAGGTGATGGCTTGGCAGTAGCATCGAAGCGTTTTGGCACAGTTTGCCTCGGAAGGATGCATGGTGGGTACCGAGGCAAAACTCCCGTCTAGCTTGCACATACCTGAAGTGAGACTGCTGCAGGCAGCAAGTTCAACTAGCTGACCCCAGGTGCGGCACCATGACGCGGGGTAGTCCACGTCACTCAGGGTTTGCAGTGCATGCTCGGAAGGGTGCCACCTAGCGGTCGATCAGGCTTCGATTCAAGGCAGTGTCCTAAAGGCCCTGTACAACCAGGCCAGCCGCACACCAAGCGAGTCTCCCACATGAAGGCCAGGGTGCCGCTGTACCTCATAGTCTCATAATTTCTGACCATAACCAATGTGTGCCTCGCAACAACAGAACCCAAACACATAAACCTACGACCTACAAATGACCTGAAATCTACAAGCTGGAATCCAAATCCTGAGCCTGACTGCCGCAAAACACCAGACGTCAAGAAACTCAACTACACGAACATGTCGCATGTGCTACCTGGACTTCAAGCAGATACACACCGACAGCAGCGAGCGTATCTTTCCAACCCTGCGCACTTTGAAGCGAACATAGCATTGTGGTAGTGGCACTAGCAGCAGCGGTAGAAGTCGTCGCCGTCATCGATATCACAGCCATGGTCGTAGTCGAAGTTTCAGTAGTTGTCGCAGCTCCCCCCCCCTCCTCCTCCTCCTCCTACTCCTATTCCTATTGATTTTCCTGCTCCTATCCTGCTCCTAGTCCTACTCCTACTCCTACTCCTACTCCTACTCCTACTCCTACTCCTACTCCTACTCCTACTCCTACTCCTACTCCTACTCCTACTCCTACTCCTACTCCTACTCCTACTCCACCACCACCACC